GAGTCCGAATGTGTTCCTGGGACTCAGACACACTTTGGTCTTCTAATCTTTTGGTTTACTTCACTTGATGCTCAAACACAAAGAAGCTAACACTAGCATGAACAACAGCTTTGTTAAAGTGGTTTTCTTACTCTGTTTAATCATTCCTGGGATTATTTTTGTCAAGAGGCAAGAGCAATGAAATACTTTGATTACATGAAATAATCTAGTGTCTAGTGCAGTCACTAATCGGTGAAACGAGCATGTTGTGTCGCATAACCCTCCTATGGAAAATCTGAAGTTCTTGGGACTGGGGACATTAGTCCAATGCCTCAAAACAACCCAAGACTATATGCATACAAAATACATTTATCTTAGCTACTAGGCTGTAATTATAATGACACAAATGTAAATGCCACATGTGGACGGCTGCATGTTTAATCTCAAGCCTCTCGAGTTGAGGTATTTGTCAGTAGCAGCTATTTCACATACCTTGCGTTGGGCGGTGTGTTTGGGTTGAAGAACTGATAGGACACCTGAGTGGCGTACCAGGACACAGACACCAGGGTGCAAAGACCTGTGGGGGGACAAAAGGTTAATGAGATCGCTGCATTAATGCTCGACTAAGCTAAGCCTGTAGCCGCAGCAATGAATGGAGAATCCTGATTCAGTTAATGTTCTCCCCTGGACTCGTGGTTTATGGCTGAGGTCAGCGACTAATGCGTCTAAAATGACCACTTCCTGTTTACAGCAGGGACTCTAATTACTAGAGAAGACCTCCGTAGAGAGATTCAGGCTAGAAAAATAGCCGACGCCTCTCTTCCTGAATGCACTGCAGTATGTTATTGGTTTCATGAACAGCGGAAATCTCACCTGCGAGCAGGAAGAGAGCTCCTCCGCTCACAGCGATGCGGGATTTGGTAGTCGGGTTGTTATCTCCCACTTTAGTGCACTTCATGCCCACCACGCTGATGATCATGCCCATGAAGCCCAGCAGCACCGACACCACCATTAGGGCCCGACATGTCTGGATGTGGACTAGATAAAGAAAGGGAAAGGAGGAGGCGGAGATGTTATAGAAGATATGGAAAAAAGGGAGAGTGATTTGAAAGAGAGGAGAGGGAAGAGTGAGGAGAAACAACAAACAGTCCATCACTTGGAATAAAACACACATTTCTGGACATTAAAGTGATGATTAGAAGGGAATGAAGCTACAAATGCTGATTGATGGGCGACCGCATGCATTTCTGACAGAAAGCTCATTAGGGAGAGTTCACCACTGTCCTCTTTCCCGGCCGGGGAATTCCAACTTTTAGGACCTTAAATGATCTTGTAAGTCTTTCTCCCGATCATTCCAGTGTGGTTTTCCCTTCTCAAAACTCGAATGTCCCGCCCACACAGGCCTCGGCGCGCACATAACTTAGTGGGAGGAACATATTTACACACAAATGCACAAAATCTGCACACATGCGTTGACTGTAGGTGGAATAGACACAGATGAAACACACAACTCTCTCTCTCACACTGAGCAGCTGTAGGAGGCCTGCTTTACATGTTCCACACAGTGGGATTAGTGTGGCTTTGTCACAAAGCAAGATTGTTTTCACGGCGCTGTCGCCACGGCGATCAGACGATGCTGCCTCAAACGCTCACAGAAGTGTTTGAAGCGACGCAAAGCGCTTAATGATATTGTCAGAAACTGACGGAGTGCCGCTTATTTGCAACAGGCAAGGGGATTGTTGAAATCACAGCGGCGGTGGAAGTAAACACGCAAAGCCCGATATCCTGATCTGATATCTGACAAAGCTGAAGAATGGTTAAAGGGTTTTTAAAGTGAACAGAACTGAGGCTTTCATACAGGGTTAACAGCCAAGGTCAAAGGCATTAGCTTCAAATAACATTGGCTTAAAGTGTTCAGCAGAATAGGAGGAAGGACGAAATCATAGAAAGTCACAAATGCTTTTAACAAAAACCATAAGGTCAATTTCCACTTTGTACTTTTTTAATTGTTAGGGTTTAAGCTCCTGTCTGTCACTCGTTGAGCTTTTGGGTCTTACATTCTGGAGAAAAAAGATTGTAAGTTTACATTGAGTGAATATTCTTTGTGAAACTAATTGACATGTCAATAGTTGAGAATGTTCTGGAGATACAAATCAAACAGTAAGTAAGTAACCTTGAGTGGAAAGAGTTTATTAAAAATTGATAAAAACAAAAGAAAAGCTGCCAAACATCAAGAAAAGAGCTATTTAGAGATTATTCAGGGACAAAACTCCTGCTAACAAGAATCACCATCATTATGTAGAAAGGTTTACCAGAGGGTCAAGGTTAGGGTTAGGGTCTTATCTTCTAAAGCTCTAGAAAACAAATGCCTTTTACTATTATTTCCAGAATCAGCAAGATATTTGAAAGAGAAAGTAATTGATTAGTATAGAAATATCTTGGCTTTAACTAGAGCTTAAAGGTTGGTAAGTTTGAGACACCGGCTTGAGAGACACTTTTTGTTATATTCCATGGAATGCTCTTAACATCTCGATAGCAATGAATATCTGAAGTGCTTTGACAACAAATACATACAAAAATTTCCTCTGTGGAAGCCGTGGTACTTTAAAAAGCACGACCAATCATCTGTGCCGGCCCGGCTAAAGTAACTGGATGGCCTACCTGCCTGTCAGCCTTCCATCCATGCACAAACTGATCTCGTGCCCTCATTGGTCATGTGCGCGTTCGTGTGTGTTGGAGGAGGGGCTCTGTGAGGAAGTGGCAGATTTGTTCCGGTTGTGTATTTTCAAATTCTAGCACACTCGAGCTGGTTTCTCCAAAATGACCTACCCCACCTTTAAAGTTATGGAAAAAAAGATAGTGGGATAACATTGATTCAATATTTTTTTGTCAACCGTTTCCCAATTCAAGAAAGGTGTTTTCCACTGATCTAGATAGAAGAAAGTCAATTTCAACATTAGGAAAGCTTGACTAATGTCGAGAAAAGACCATAAGAGGACACCTCTGTTTACAAGGTGAAGATTTAAGAATAGTTGAACCAGAAACAAAGTCAAAGTCACACTAATCTTCAAAGTTTCTATAAAAAAATCGCCCTTAACTACTATATCCGAGATCAGCAATTTGTCAATTGTTTGTACCAGAGCTTTCACTCACACATCGTGGTCTTCAAAGCCTCGGCAAAAACACAATCAATTGGACCTGTTGATGTTTTTGTCAAATTCCAGCATCAAGAATAAAGCACCAGGCTGAACTGGACACAACAGAACAGGACTGTGTGTCAGATCCTCAAACAGGCTGTAGATCAACCGTCAGGCAGGAACCTAAAGTCATCATTTATCACTGTGACAAAAACACACACACCATCATTCATGGCGCAGCAGTGAAGTTCAGAAGCTGATCTGAAGGGACTTATGATGGAGGGGGGGAGAGAGGATGGAACAAACTTTGAAGTCTGATTCATGGCTCCACAGTTTCTTTTGATGGAGTCTCTGAATAGTCTTCATCAGAGAGAGGTCTTTCCTTTCATCCACTCTGAGTATTCTTCTGTATTTCTGAGGGTGTGCAGAGGTTAGGGCCAGATCTGAGCAGTTTGAGTTGGTGACAAACTAGGTGGCCGATTGGGAGCTTTTGGGGTAAAGCAAAGGCTAAAAGGAGGAGGGGTGTGTGTGTGTGTGTGTGTGTGTGTGTGTGTGTGTGTGTGTGTGTGTGTGTGTGTGTGTGTGTGTGTGTGTGTGTGTGTGTGTGTGTGTGTGTGTGTGTGTGTGTGTGTGGGCATCGTTAGGTCCCATTGTGAGGTAACCGGTGACCCTATTGCACATAATATCTGTTTTCCCACTCACTACACCACCATCAAAAGTACTTTCACTTACTTACGTTTACTAATTGGATGCTCTAACTTGTAAGCAAACGTTTAGTTCACTCAATCAGTGAACAAAATCCCAAGGATTAAGATGTATTATCTTATTTTTCTGTGCCAGAGATTGAAGAGAAAATGTCAATGAGCCACGCTGTTGCTTCGGCTGTTCCTCCACAAACCATTTGTTGAACATCAATCGTACATACTGCTAACTCAAATACTCCCAACAGCACCAAATGTAGATCAATCAATGGCTGAAAATGTTGTCAAGTGCACCGTTTCTTTCTGTTTGAGTAACATTTGCATTCTTGAGCCTTTTGTCGAAGTAACTATTTGTGATTTTAGAAGATCGAAATTTCTAGCTTTTTTCTCAGAACTCTAATAAACATTTTTAATCTTTTGGTCACATCCAAAAACAATTCACATGTGGCCCTAATCCTGTTTCGTAAACATGATATTGCTGACTTCTTATTCTTTTTGCACTCCCAATGCTGCACCAACAATGTTGTGAAATAACACTGTGCAGTATGTACTAGGAAATATAACGTCATTTGGCAGCTACTCCACAAGTATTCTCTATTTGTTTAACTATATTTTGTATAACGCTGCCACTCGTCTTTCCTTCTTTTAATGTATACTAATTATTTGAACACAACTAATACTGTTTTATTTATCCGTCTCTTTGCTGAACCATGTAAATGTACCCTCTGTGGGACGAATACATGGATCCTGATTCTGATTGGTCAACCATGAGAAACATATATATCGTTTCCCCACATTGGACAGTTGCTTGACCAGGCTGATGTTATGATTACTCATATCTAAAGTTTTAGAGTACCGTGACAATTTCCTTATCTTATAAATCCCGAGTTCCTTTAGGCGAGCACAGGGAGACTTTGACGTGAATTTACGAGGCAAAACCGGCGACAATGCACAATTCAGGGTTACGAATGTGACCAAACTGATTGGCAGAAGCCGGTTATCTTCTCAGGTTTTCTTTAACATCGTGCTAAGATGTGTTCTGAAACGCTGTCCTTTCAGCACCACCATTCGCACTCATCTGAGAATAAAACCCATCCTTCTGTACTGATCATCGTCTCTCTCTCTTTGAGCGTTTACAACCCGCAGCAGATCCAACCGTTTCCACCACGGCTGCTAGGAGCCACAGTCTGGTGAACAATTAGCTTCTCCATCACATGCTGGTCCCGCTGCGAATGTAGAACTCACATCAGTCGGATCAAACCCACGCCAATGGGGTGTTTTAACCAACATTCAGACCTGCGGTGAGCCTGTCTCTGACCCTTGGACACATGATTGGATGCTCATCTTGCTCCATTTCATAATCTGTCTCGGGGGGCGGGGGGGAAGCACCTGAGCAAAAAACCTGTGATTGATCAAGAATGCTCGGATGCTTTCAGTATTGTCTCCTTAACCCTTAAAGATGAATTTCCTCACTGTTTGTCCTCACACTGAGTCGGGCTGTGTTAATGGACAAATGGACCAATGTTCGCGTGTGGGGACGCCGGAGTGCATTCTGGGAATATCTCTGGTGTTTGGCCTCAACACTAACCTTTTCTTCTCCAAACAGTCCCTATTCATACGCAAAGACAATACGCCGTTCTTATCGCCGCGACGCACCAAAGGAGATGGGAGACCAGCTCACAGAAAGTGTTTTGATATACACCAAAATGTTTGCAAAGTGCCTCATTTGTTGCTCCAAGGCAAGCGTGACAGCACACAGCAGAAAGCACATATAACCACAGACAAAAAGTGCTCATTGTTTTATGAAAATGACTTCTGAACCGAACCCCCCCCCCACCCCTCTCATTAGAATCTCTAATAGGATGATTTAAGCAGACACTAGATGGATGGATTCCTATAATCTGTGTGCCATTAATTATGAGTCACTAGGTCCCACTTACAGATTGGAGATGACAAGAGGCTCATATTCGGAGCTAATTTATGTCTTAACCCCACATTCCTGACCCCCTCCCACTCCTCACACATTACACTTCATGATGTTTTGGAGCTTTAATTTGAACAGAAGCATTCTAAGTGAGATTTACAGCTTATGAGTTTAATATGTCCCAGATAGCGAGAGCTTGGGGACTTGTTTACTCTCTTTATTTTTTAACAGCCAAGTTAATGGGCGAGTTACAATAACTGTTATGATTTGAATTACGACGTCATGGATATTTCACCCGGGGTAATTTAGGAAGACAGATTGAAGGTGATGGTTTCACTGGACCTTTCTTTTGTCATCCTGGTTCATGAAACGTCACGTAGAACTTCATCAAAAAGGCGATTAAATAAAGAGAAAGAAACACAACAAGCCTTTCTTTGTGACGTCTACAAACAGATTTTTGCCTTATCCAAATGTAAACTATGGTGTACCGTCATCTGGCAAATAAGCCAAGGGAATATCCTTTAATTATTCCCCTTCAAAACCACTTAGATTTTCTTTCACATTTTGTTAATTATATGATTTTTCAAATAAGACAATTATCATACTCACAATATTCCTTTATCTTTTAATATCTTCAAATCCAATGTAGATTCAATCCCTGGTCAAACGCACGTTTAGGGAAAAAACGTGATTGTTTCTGTTTCCTTGTTTATTATCTTAAAATGTGTCCTTGTTGATGTTGCAAATGTAGCTGATGCGATAACATTTTCAGACTTGACCTGACAATAAAAGTATCATTGTATTGCATCGTATCATGTCGTATGAGTTAGGGTTAGGTTAGGGTTAGGGTTAGCTTAACCAAACAGTCTACACGCAATCGAAGGCATGATCCAGTACGAGTTAGTGAGGATTATGTCGATCCAATACAAAAACAAAGTACTCACTGTCCAGCGAGAGCATGGAGTCAAAGATCTTGCACTGCACCTGCCCCGTACTCTGCGAGGCGCAGCTCATCCACAGCCCCTCGTACAGACCCACGGCCGTGATGATGGCATCGCCGGCGTACGAAGACTGCTTCCACTGGGGCAAGGCGATGGTGGAGATAATGCCGATCCATCCGCCCAACGCCAGGAAATAACCCAACAACTGGAGCCCTGAGTTGGCCATCCTTCTCTAAGCTCTGTCCCTGGACTTCTGTCTGTTTTACTGTGTCGTCTTTGAGCAAATCCTTGTGGACACACCTGTAGGAATCCTTTCACTTTTATTGTTCACTTCTTCTCTATCTGGTCACCCCACCCTTTGCTTGCATCTGTAGATATCCTCTCGTCTGAAAATCTTTCTTTTATTTCTTAATAGTCCCAAGCTGGTTTTTGCCCATCAGTTATGACGATGTCTCCCCTTAAGACTGTCCTGTCTGATTCCTTGATCTCTCTGGGGCTCAGTCAAAGTGGGAAAGAAAGCCTTTTAAGTGGTCAGTGGTTCAGTTCATCAAGCATTGTCGCTGCACTGCCTCACTCTCTGCATGGCTTCTTCCAATCTTCACTCTCTCTGCTGCTGGTTTACTTTCCCCCACACTACAATCTTTCCATCTGCTCCAGGCTCAAGTGGCCCAATGAGGGGTAGCAGAAAAAAAGGAAAAAAAAGGACGTGAACACAAAAAGTCCTTAACAGGCTGACCATTGAGGGATGGGGTGAAGGGCCGGGCTGTGATTGGATTCCTCTTTCTTGTAGGAACGCCTACTGGACGGGAAGAGGGATGGGCTGGTTGGGAAACAAGCAGCGTTTCAAACAGAGAGACAGAGAAACGAGCATAGGGAGAAATCAAAATGACATGTTGCTATAAAATGAGAAACAGTCAAGCAGGTCTTCCGAAATAGAGTGATGCGTTGATGACGTATTTTTGTCGGCTGACTCGGAAGTTAGCAACGCTGCGGATTCCTCGAATAAAAGCAATAGGATTTCCCTAGATCCTCCCTAGCTTTGTGGCCAACACACATGTATGATACTTACATGTTTTGTCCAGCAAAATAATCGACAATATACACAACTTTGTGATTTTTAAGGCGAACATTCAATTGCCAGGACTAAAAAGTTAACTACATCACAGCTGAACGCTAAAAAAATATGTCTTCTGCGAGTTTTTAGGACACATAGAAGCTTTGGATATTCACGAAAGGGGTATTTACTGACTTATTTTATGTTATTTTATGTTGCGTTAACCACAGACTGTAGTTCAAGCTTCTAACTACAAACACGTTCAAAAAAAACGATGGAACCGGAAGTGTGACATATGGGAAGTCTTTTCTGGTTCTTTTCTGCATCGATGCTTTAAAAGGTTTTCCACCCCCGCTGTAGGTGCTGGAGGAGGAGGAGGTGGTAAAGTGCAACAAACACACGTAAATCAACATCCAAACAATGCCCGGCTGAAAAGGACGTGTCACATCCAGACAGGCTCTCTGCAAATTATTGGGCCGCTGATGCAAGCCTATCCCCATCCCCATGGAAACCGCAACAAACGAAGAGAGGAAAGGATAGAGAGAGTTCACCCGACTGGACATCCCTACAAGATGCAAGCGCAGACACACTCCGTTTCTTTTGTGTGTCCGCAGAGCGCTGCAGAAAGCTCTTTTTTTTCCCACAGTTGCACGCCCTGCTTTGACTCGACTCATTACATTAGCTTCAATTCACTTCAACCTAACTGTAATTATATTCTGCCAATTAGAGCGTCCACACATCGTGTCCGAGACATGGCCGTTTTCTCACATCTGTAAGAGACATGTCTCACCCCCACACTGCACACACACACACACCCACACACACCACACACACACACACACCCACACACACACACACACACACACACACACACACACACACACACACACACACACACACACACACACACACACACACACACACACACACACACACACACACACACATTGACATCCTGTCTAAGCAACAACCATGTTCCCGTCCCATCCACTCAAGGTTGCTTCAGTGTTGTTGGAAGTATGTTGATTATTTACTGAAGTACAAGTACTAATACCACACAGTTTAAATACTAAGATACAAGTAAAATTCCTGCATTTAAAATGTTACTTAAGTCAAATGTAATGTACTTAAAGTATTGAAAGTGGTCAAAAAGTCTAAATAAGAATGAGTAGGCACTAACATGATACGAAATAAATTATACATTTATTTGATTGTTTAACAATGCCAATTTATGTTCCCTCAAACTCTCATTTTTGTATAAACTGTTGGCTAGTTTAATACATAACAAAACATCATTAATTTCTAAAGAAACTAAAAACTAAATATACTAATTAAATATAGTTGAGTTAAAGTACAATATGTCCTTTTGTAGTGTAGGTGTATAAGTCTATCAACAAAGAAAATACTCCAGTAAAGTGCAATTACCTTAAATTCGTAGTTAAGGACAATACTTAAGTAAGTGTACTTTGTTAGATTCGACCACTTCTTTTAACAGACTTTGAAAAAAAAAAAATAGGACTCACCTAAGAATAAATAGTGGAAAAGCAGGAAAAATGGAAAAGCAGGATGTTGTTGGTGGTCTAATTGTTCTGCTTTAACGAGAATCTATTTGTTTCCACATTATTATTATTCTGTTGGCCCTTTTGTTTCTTTCCTGAATTCTCTTACCAATTGAACCTTGAACTTGATCTACCAGAGCATCACAAAAACACCAGAACATGTGAACATCCATGTGACCGCACTTATCCGGCACGAAGTATGTCTTTGAAAACCCACACACACACACACACACACACACACACACACACACACACACACACACACACACACACACACACACACGTGGGTAGAGCCATACATGGAGGTCTACACATGGTTCAAACCAACCCTGATGTATTATTCTCCTTCTTTGACACCCACAATGTTCTTCTAGGTTTGCATATTGAGGGTGTGTTTATGTGTGACCGTTAACGTTGTGTGTTCAGGTTTTCGGGGTCTAATGAGGGGCTTGATATCGGGGTGAGATGTGGTCCGAGCACAGAGGTCAGCTGAGAACCAAAGAGATGAAAGAGAGGCAAAACAAGGGCTCAGGTCCAGAGTAGTGGGTGGAGCAGTGGGGGCTTTCTTATTTTGAATCATAACAACACTCTGACATTGGGGGTTATGGCGGTACAAGTCCAAGGGAAAAACTCAACTCAGCAAAGTTTTGTCTCCAGGCTCTCTGATCAAACATGGAGCAAAGCTTCATACCTAGATGAGAAAATGAGTTGGCTGCAATTGCGACCCTGTCTCCAGCAAAATCAATCCCATTCAGCTAACATGTATGTTCTTGTATATAATGGTTGTACCTTGAAACACTTGGTTAAGGTTGTTTTCTAAGTCTTTGTTATGTTTAAGGAACACAAATAATAGTTTAGCTTAGAATAAGTGAGTTTATTGTGTTATTGATGTTAGTAATAATACTCCCTTGGGTATAAGTCTCATGTTTGTTTCACCCATTTATCCATCAATACATTCATAAATCCATGCAACTTAATTCGTCCATCCACCTACCCATCCATCAATCCCTTCATACCCATCCAACCAATCACCCACTAATCCAACCATCAATAAATCCATCCTAGCATTATCCACAAATAAATCCATCCATCCATCCATCCAAACTTCAATCTATAAATCCATCCATCCAACCAACCAACAAAACCTCCAAGCCCAACTTCCTCAACGTCCTCTTTGAGGCTCACACCTGAATGACTGCTGATTAGTACTGAATGTAGTTTAATTGTGCTCTCCAAAAAGACCACTTTTGTTCTGCTGCATCAATTTAGTTTTCTTTATTTTTGCCTAGTACTTAGAGATACTGTATCTGCTGTAATAACCCCAACACAGTGCATGTCATTGAGTTTGTGGTGCTCACATTGTTGAACATTTTCTGAAGTCTCCTTCTTACAGCCCGTCCACACGGCAGCGTGCGTTGCTTCAACGGAGACGCTTCCCATTCACTTTGAATGGGGTGACGTCACGCTTTGCCGAACTGCATTGTGGTTCCGTCGCGTCGCTCTGCCTCCGTTGCTCGCTTCGAAAGTTGAGAAAAGTTCAACTTTTCAAGCGTCGACGGAAGCGCCAGCCAATCAAATCATATGCCAGTACAAGCTCTGGCCAATCAAACCGTGTGCTTGTGTGTCCAGGGCGGGAGATTAATGTGATTGGTTGTTGGTCGCACGCCAGACACGCCCACCGGCAAGCTTCAACGCAGGCTGCCGTGTGGACGTACCGTTACTGTCGATATCCAGACTGCACTGCCAACAGTTTTGCCTAACCCTCTTTAAAGTGTTGTTTAAGTTATGGACAGAATTTAAGTAAAAAATATGTATCAACTGAATGTGAAAACCAGCCATACTGCTCCCCGTACTTCACAGGGTTGCGCTGACTGAACCTGAGTTGCTATACAGCCTGTGACTAGGGGTCAGTTTGCTTTGAGTTACCGCACCTTCTCTTTCCAGCAAAGAAGTGTCCTGCAGGCAGTGAGGCTGAAACACTGACAGTAAACATCAGTCATAGTTAACATAAAGACGTCTAACTATAAACATCATACACGAAGGTTGTAAGATGGCAGTGTTATTTTGATCAAGCGAGTTTCAGGAGTTTGATGAATTCTGCGTATTCTGGGCTTGCTGCTACACTGAAAAACTGAAACATTGACTTCAATTAAATTATGTCAACAGATTTCACATAACTGTATTAGGTTAGTTGGAAACAATAGTATTATGTGTAGATACAAATGATTAGGCCCAAAGTAATATTATTGCTTTCAAATAACATAATACAGAAATGTAAAATCTGTTGACATGATGCATTGAATTAAACTCAACATTCAATTTTTTTCAGTTTAGTTATCTTTTTTAAGATTGAATGAATTTGGGTTGATTTTGAACTCTCAGTAGACTTTCACTTTTCTTCAAGACAGTGACACGAGGGCAAAGTGAACCTTCTTTCTGAAGTCACATATTGATATTGGTGAAAATAAACTACCTTTGTAATGTTAATCTTGGCTCCACCACCATTACTCATGTGGCTCGTCACTCCCCTCACTGTTATCTCTTTGATATGACTCTCCCCAAACAGGAAACCGGTAAATGTGGTTCGCAAAGTCTCATACCCTCACACACACAATTAAGACATCAGGAGCCTATCAGATTTGCCGGAGTTGTCAGGGTTACAGTGAGCCACATGTGGACATGTAAAAAGAATTGGAGAAGAATTATGTAACACAACAGGGAGGTTGTGGATTAGTCTATTTAAAGAAACAGATAGGGATTACTCAGCGAAGCACTTTGATGTCACATGAAGGACATTTGTATGCATTCGCACATCTGGAAGATATATACTGCACATCATTGAGAACTCGTAGAGGAGTTGTATTCCCAGAGGCCTCCAGTACACTTTAATTACAGTACGTCAAGCCTTTCCCGTTAATGTTTTCCAGCAGAGAGCCCACATGAGTAGGTGGCAGCATCTGAATGAATGCTAAGCCAGCGCAGACATTAATAATGTATGTCTGGACCCCAAGGAGTTCAAGTGGCCCCTGAAGAGACTGTTGGCTCTGCTCATTATAAAGTTGAACAGGGAATCTTTTCCA